CCTGCTCTTATCCAAATCTACATTTTGGGTTGGGGTTGGGAAAGGCCCTCTTACTTCTTTCCCGTCTTGGGAGGACACAACTGATCCACTCGGAGAGTCAGCCAGGGTGCTCTCCACACTGTGGAGTTCGGCCACGACCGTGACATCACAGTCTCCCTCTTGTCCTCCCCACATCTCATTCAAACATATGTTCAAGTCATAGCTCGATTCAGGTCTCCCCTTCCAGCTGGATTTTGAGTATTTAAGGGCATAATGCCTCATATATAGACATCAGTAAATAAAATACACATGTTCAAACCGTATAACTGTTGAACCACAAAGAAGGCTGAGCACCGAAGAATTGATGCTTTTGAACTGTGGTGCTGAAGAAGACTCTTGAGAGTCCCTTGGACTGCAAGGAGATCAGACCAGTCAGTTCTAAAGGAAATCAGTCCTTATTCCCTGGAAGGATTGATTCTGAAGCTCTAATACTTTGGCCACCCTTGATGTGAAGAGCCGACTCATTGGAAAAGACCCTGATACTAGGAAAGATTGAGGGCAAGAGGAAACAGGGGCGACAGAGAGTGAGACGGTTAGTTGGCATCGACTTAATGGATATGAGTTTGTGCAAACTCCAAGAGACAGTGAAGGACAAGGAAGCCTGGCATGCTTCAGTCCATGGGGTTGCAAAGAGTCAGACACAACTGAACAACAACAAACCCCACTTCACATAAAATTAGAGAAGGGACATTGAGAGAAGTACCCATTTTTAATAATAATGATATTTTATAATAGTAATAATAATTGAATAAGGTCCTCCTGCGGAGCCTTAACCTTCCATAATGCCTCAGAAGCAGGTAGTGGGCATCACTGCCTTAACTGACCAGCACATCAGTTTCTCACATCTGCGCCCGTTTCTCAGATCATGGACAAGAGAGTATTCTGATTGTATTAATTTGCTGTAACTCTGTTTTTAAGCTCCAAGATTCAGTTGACTTTCGGCAGCCGTTCTGAGAAAGGCACCTGTACTAGGCACGGATGACCTCTGGTTCGTGGTGGACCATGAGCCGAGCTGAGGCAGGACTGCCCTGCAGGCTCGTTGAGTGAGAGTCAGAGTCTCTGGGAATAAGACTGTCCTTGATCACACCTGGTGGCATTACTGGATAGGAAGAGCTCTGACCCCTCTGGTGATTGAGGTTATTTATGAGCTTAGAGGAGCTGGCGTCCGCATTCTTCAGGTTGGGCGACTTCTGCTTTTCATCTGGCTCCTTTGGTTCAGATGGGCACCACTCCTGGCACCCGTCCAGAGCTGGCAGCGTGCTTTCCCATCCTCATTTACAATTCTTGTTGGATAGATTTGCGTCTTCAGTTTCCAGGCAGCTGTGTCCAATGCTGCCAGACAGATCTAACTGAAGATTTCCTTCCTTCCCTCTACATCTCTGCCTTTCTTTTATTTTCCCTCCCTTACTCTGTCAACCCGAGTAAGATTATTCAAAAGAAACGATTGGGGTGTGTCTGTACAATGTGTTATATTCATCAGCAGAGAGGAATGAACTGTTGATACACGCAACAGTGTGGATGGACCTGAGGGGCATTTTACTCAGTGAAAAAAACCAGTCTCAGAAGCTCACATACTGTCTGATCCTGTTTCTATAATGTTCTTGAAATGATGTAATTATCAAAAGGGAGAAGAGATTAGTGGCTGCTGGGGGAGTGAGTATAAAGGGGTAGCAAAACGGAGATGGCTGTGGTGATGGACGAGTTCTGTATTTTGAACATGGAACTCAGTACACAGGAATGTACACATATGATAAAATGATGCAGAACTATAGCTATACTTTATAACAATGTAAATCATTCAGTTTTTCTATTACCCTCCAGTTGTATAAGCTGTAACCAGCAAGGAAATTAGGTGAAGGGTACACACAGATCTCTCTATACTATCTTTACAGCTTTCTGTGAATTTATATTTATTTTTAAGGTAACAGTTCTTTTCTTAATAAAACAAATTATTGGTACATGCAACAACATGGCACAATCTCAGACTAATTATAGTGAATGAAATAAACCAGGCAAAAAAGGAGACAGAAGAAAATACACACATCAAAACTAAATTAAAAATTAGACATCAAAATTAAAACCTTTAATGCTGCGAACCATACCATCAAGAAAGTGAAAAGACAACCCATGTGATATAAGAAAGTATTTGCAAATCATATCTGATAAAGGATTTATATCTAGAATAGATTAATAACTTATAACTCAGTAATAATAAGACAAGTCCAGTTGAGAAATGGGCACAGGATTTGAGTGGACATTCTCCGAAGAAGACATGCCAATGGTATTAAGCACATGAAAAGACGTTTAACATCATCAGTCATGTGAGAAATGCAAACCAAAGCTTCAGAGAGAGAGCAGTTTAGGCTCACTAGGATGGCAATAATCAAAAAGACAGGTGATAACAAGTGTTGACAAGGATATGGAGATATGTGGAACCCACAAACACCACTAATGGAAATGTAAAATGGTGCAGCTACTTTGGAAGATAGTTTGGCAGTGGTTCAAACTGTTAAACGTAATTACCATATGACACAGTAATTTTACTCCAAAATAATCGAGAACATGTTTATACAAAGGCTTGCACACAAGTGTTCATAGCAGCATTATTTATCAGTAGAAAGGCCCCAATGCCTATGAACTGATGAATGGATAAACGAAATATGGAATATCCATCCCGTAGAACATTAGTCAACAATAAAAAGAAATGAAGTACTGATATGTGCTGCAATGTGGATGAATCTTGAAGACGTTTTTTCTCAAGATAGTTACAGGAGGTCACATACATTATTTAATTTGTGTGAGATGTCCTGAATAGGCAAATCTGTAGGGACAGAAAGTAGATTTTCAGTTGCCTAGGGCTAGGGGATTAGGGAGGAAATGAGGAATGACTAATAATGGGAACAGTTTTTCCTTTGGCGAAGCATGAAAATATTCTGAACTAAAGTTAGATGGTGGTAATGATTGCAGAGCTCGAGCAATGTACTAAAAGCCATTGAACTGTACACTTTAAGTGGAGGTATTGTATGGTGTTTAAAGAGAGTATATACAATGCAATTCCATTTATATAAAATATTTGAAAATGCAAGCTGGTCTACAGAAAGCGTCAGCAGTTTCTTGGGGATAGAAGGATCGGCGGATTTTAAGTGGACATGACCAAATTTTTAGGGGTGATGAATATGTTACTGTCTTGATTGTGCTAATTGTTTCATGGGTGTATATGTGTCAGAACTCACCAAGTTGTATTCTTCAACATGTACAGTTTATTGTATTTCAGTCACTCTTTTTTTAAATAAGCCATAGCAAAAACATATGTAATTCACTAATGTGACAAACACATTTGTTGGGCACTAGTGTAGCACTAGCTCCCAGGGTTTAATGGCAAGGAAAAGCTGCAGGGCTACCCTATAAAGGCACAGGCAAGCAAGAATAGGATTGCAAAATGCTATGTACAACACGAGCTCTACAGAAATACAGAATCTCTGACTTGGGATTTTTCGGCTTTACAATGGTGCAAAATCAATATGCCTTCAGAAACCGTACTTCCAATTTTGAATTTTGATCTTTTCCTGGGCTAGTGATGTACAAAGTGATTCTCTCGTGATGATAGGCAAGTGGCAGGGAGCTGCAGCTCCTAGTCGGCCATGCAATCATAAAGGGAAACAACCGTCTTGTTTTTCACTTTCATTACAATATTTAATAAACTACATAGGATATTTCACACTTTATAATAAAGTAGCCTTTGTATTACGTTGCCCAACTGTAAGCTAATGTGTGTGTTATGAGCATGTCTAAGGTAGTTAGGCTGAGCTATGATGGTCGGTAGGTTACATGTATAAGTGCATTTTTAGCTTAAGATACTTCCAACTTGTGATGGGTTTATCTGGATGTAATTGTATGATAAGTTGAGTTTGATTTGTATGCTTGGGGAGTCTCATAGTCACCCTCATGGGGACAGACAGAGGGAAGGAGTGTTGGGGAGGCTTCCTGGAAGAGGTAGCACTTGAGCTCAGCATCCAAAGGCAGATACAGGTTACATGTAGAACGTGGGGTTTTCGGATGACATAATGGTCCTCCTCCGTGACACTTACGTAGGGGGAGCAGCAGTAGCACATAGTATGTGCTTGTTACATCTCAGAGGGGACCTGACTTTGTTCTGTTCATATCAAAGCCATGCTTTTCCCCCAGGAGCCCCATCACAGTGCAGTGGAGTATTGTGTTAACACGCACCTCAACAATAAAACAAAGATCTAACATCCTTCAGTGCTGTCAGCAGGCTTCCTATTATCTAATTGTTTGTGGTTCCATTTTTAAAGTCTGTCTTTTTGCTGTGTTGTTTGCTGTGTGAGAGCCAGGATTGAGTGACGCATTCTCCCATCTTGCCTCCGGCAGGTAGTGTAGTTGACAGACAGCACAGTTTTTAAAAAGATGATTTGCTGATAGGTTTGGATTTGGGTTACCCTGGAGAAGGAAATGGCAACCCACTCCAGTATTCTTGCCTGGATGGAGGAGTCTGGTAGGCTATAGTCCATGGAGTCACAGAGTCAGACACTACTGAGCAACTTCAATCCTTGGATTTGGGCAGATACAGAGCATATAAGAACACATTCAACTGGTGGCTTCAGGCATGGCTCAAACTTGTTGTGACAAGAAGTATATGTGAAGCAGTTCAACTGTCCTGTCACCCGCCCACACTGCTCTCTGTATCCTGGTTCTGGCCCCAGTCATGCCAACTCCCTTCACCCTCTCTCTGCCTCCCATAGATCTCTCCTAGTGGCCTGATATTTGGAGACTCTTTCCCAGAGTCTCCTGGGCTGAGCTTCTCCTGAGAAGGTCAGGACCGTCTGCTCTGGAGCAGGCCACTCTGGCCACTGGCCCACTTTGGGCAAGTTTGGCTTTCTTGGTTCCTATTCAGGGACCACTCATGTGTGTGTGTTTTTTTTTCTCTCCCTCTTTGCCGCTAGCCCTCCTCTATGCCACCATCTTTGGGAACGTGACGACCATTTTCCAACAGATGTACGCCAACACCAACAGGTACCATGAGATGCTCAACAGTGTCCGGGACTTTCTGAAGCTCTACCAGGTCCCCAAGGGACTGAGTGAGCGCGTCATGGATTACATCGTGTCCACCTGGTCCATGTCCAGAGGCATCGACACGGAGAAGGTAAGGAGGCGATGGGCTCAGGTAAACCGCTCATCCCTCAGCTTTCCCAGGGGTGCCTGAGCCTCACCTCGGACGGATGCTTCTCATAGCTGGCTGTGCATCTGACCTCACCTGGGTGTAGTTTCAGAATCCCAGGTCCCACCTCCAGAAACTTTGATTGCTTGCCCATCAACCTTTCTGAAGGACTAGCAATTAAGAGAGATTATTTTACAAACTGGTGAGGCAGATTGTATCAGTATCTCCTTAAGAGGAAATGGACTAGCAGTCTGTCAGGGCAGGACTTCCTTTATCAGCTGATAATGCTGGTAGGAATCGGGGCCCCCCCAGGCTGAGATGACCAGTATTACTGATTTTCCTTTCACCTCAGGCCCCAAGGTGACATATCTCTGCTGCTAGTCCACTGTCTGTTCAAAGTTTCCGATCCAGATTTTTGATATGTTGTTCATTGCGTGACTTGATCTCCAGACTATTGCACTACACTGTGATTTGTTTGGGGGTTTCCCTGGTGGCTCAGACGGTTAAGAATCTGCCTGCAATGGAGGTGACCCAGGTTCGATCCCTGGGTTGGGAAGATCCCCTAGAGAACGGCACGGCAACCCACTCCAGTATTCTTTTCTCAGAAATCCCATGGACAGAGCAGCCTGGCGGACTACAGTCCCCGGGGTGGCAGAGTGGAACATGACTGAGAGACTCACCCATGATTTGTCGTGCTGACTGAGTTTTTAACATCTCATTAAATTTTGTGTCCAAGGCTATTGCTTTACTCTAGTCTTGGCCCTGATGGGACTCCCAGGATGTGGCCATTAAAAACGGGTTTCCAGGCATCATCCTAGACCTTTGGAATCAGAATTTTGTGAGGAGGAATGAGGTAGGATGGAGACTGAAAATCTGCATTTTGAACAAGGGTCCTGTTCACTAGACAAGTCTGGGAGGTACCGACCAAGGGCTTTTACTTAATAAGCAGTTGATTTGACCAGAGCATCCCTTAGGCTCTTTTCTGATGTTCCTGTGAAATGGAAATGGCAATAGATCCCTACCATTCTCCAAAAGTTGCATTATTCTAGGTGCTTTCCAATAAACTGAAGAAAATTTGATGCTACTGGAAAGAACAAAGATATTTGAAAATGATCATTTGTGAATGATCTCCTTTGTAATATTTTCTTTGAGCAAAACTGTAATCCTAGGTTAGTTTTTCTCTGCTTCTTAAGTCTTTGGAATGGCTTTTCGCTCTTTAATCACCATTTCCTAAGTACTCAGGGAATTCTGATTCCTTCCTTTGTTAGAGTGAGGCAAACAGAATGATATTGTTGAAAAATACCTTATGACACCTTCAAAACCAAGTTCAGTGTCTTGGGAGTCTGCTGTTCACACTCCTGGTCTTCTCCATTAGAAGGGTCCCTTGAGAGTTGAGTTTAAATGGAAGAGCATTTAAATGGAAAAATCTAACTAAATTTAACTGATCCCAACCTCAAAGGGAGGATACTTTGATTTTGTTGAATATCAGCTGTAATAATAGTAATAACCATACCATATACCAGCTACCACATCTTAAAGTTGTATTAAGAGCAGATACTTAACTGCACTTCTGGCCCTGCATTCCTGCTTCACGACTACCCTGGAGAGGGAATAGGTATCAGGACCCAGCAGCCCAGTTAACTTTGTTAATTGCCCCCGGTCACAGAGTTGAGAATGGCAAAGTCTGGATTTGAACCCAGTTTTGTCTGACTTCAAAGCTTGTGCTTTTTCCTGCTACTGCTTTTAAAAAAACAACAACTGTAAAACAGACTGGAGGGAAGGTTGAGTCCAGATGGAGGTGCCCTCCTCTCTCAGACGGGCAGGCACTGGTTGGGAGGGACTTCATCTCTGGCTTTGCTCACCACTGGTCCCACTGCTCCTGTTTTTCTATTCTGCTGTCTCAACCCGGCCCCCTGGAGGTTCTGTGGGTGCCTGGCAGCTGATGGAGCAGAAAGGAACTTGGATTGCTCACCCCTGGGCCTCCTTTTCCCAGGGGCCAGGATGCCTTTGTAAATCTGGTTGTCTGGAAAGAAGCCCTCCCCTGCCCTCACTGCAAGGCTGGGCTGGGCGGCTGCCCCTGGGAGACAACACTCATCAGCTCTGCTCCTCCCTTCCCCTGCCTGCTGTCTCCCTGGAGGGCTCTGGGATTTTCCCTAGGCCCTGATCCAAATGGAAGAGGAAGTATTGTGGCAGCTAGGGCAGAGCCCAGCCCCGCCTGGGGTGGCTGCTCTTCCTTGGCAGGCAACTGCTGGGGAGAAAGCCAGTCCCAAGGCCCTGTCTCCCTGCCGACGCCTCCATTCCAGACTGGGATGGTCAGTGATGACTGGGGCATCTAGGGGATGTGTGTGCAGTGGAAGGGTGGGAATGCTGGGCAAGTTTGACGTTAACAGTAATTAGCTGACGACCTTGAATCTTAGACCATCGTGGGTCCCTCTGAGTTTCAGTTTCCTTATCTGTGACACATGGAAACTAGATGACTTTTAAGGCTAAGGCCAACTTCTAAGACCCTTTGGACTCTGACGTCCAGAACTTCAAAAGCATCCCTCAGGCTGACCTGCTGCTCTGCTGTGATGGTACCATCAGAAATGAGAGCCCTCATGCATTGAGCCCAGTCACAGGTGGGCATTAAACCAAGTCTTTGACACTGCAGTGCATGGAATCTTCCAAGGAATTCTAGACACAAGTTAGAACAAGAAGACTTGGGGAAAGTAGAGATTCAGGTTCACATGACTTGAACAAGTGGAAGCCAGGAGTCCAGATCTGCTTCATCCTAAAGCCTGTTCCCGCATCCATGCTTTATCCATCCTGCCCCCACCACCCCTTTTCCCCCAGGGAGGAGGCTCCATGAATCTCCATGATGGCATCACCTCGGGGCTTCTGAGGCCTCAGAGACCAGCAAGAATTTTCTCTGCTCAAACCAAGCAGAAGGGCAGGTAACCCAGGAAGAAGACAGCAGGGTCTCAAGCTGATACCCTCCCTCAGAGAGGCTTTCAGGAGCCCCTGCCGGTGTAGACCCAGCGGAAGGACGATGGGGGAGCTGGTGGCTGCAAGGGTCCATCGTTTCCCCGCTCCAGTCCCCTCTCCTCCTCACGCGTGCTTTCCCATGGCTCTGGGAACAGTGCCCACAAATAAAAGACTGTCTCCATGTCTCTGCCGGCAAAGCTCAGCCTGAGGGAAGGGAAGTATTTAAAGGTGAACTCACCTGGAGATCAAATCTTAGTTTCAGACCGCTGGACACAGTTTCGACATGATAAGCAAGTGTTCCCACTCCCTGGTGTTCTGCTTGGAGAGAGAGGATCCAAATTAAGTCTGCCTTTTCCCAGGAGTCTTGCTTTAATGAGTCTGAAGGAGGGGAATTACTTAACGAGCACTCTGCCTAAGCATTGGCCATCTGATTTTCCCCTGCCTGGGTCAGTCCTCCAGCCCCGCTCCCAGAGAGCATGCTCACTGCCTTGGCATCCTGCCGCCGCAGAGCAACACAGAGGGGACCTGCGTTCATTGAGTGGCCTGCTGGGCCCACGAGGTGTCGCAAGGTGTGGATATCAGATGCACTGGTAGATACAAGTTCATTTAATCCTCATAGTGAAAGTGAAAGTTGCTCAGTCATGTCCGATTCTTTGCAACCCCATGGACTATATAGTCCATGGAATTCTCCAGGCCAGCATGCTGGAGTGGGTAGCCCTTCCCTTCTTCAGGGAGTCTTCCCAGCCCAGGGATCGAACCCAGGTCTACCACATTGCAGGTAGATTCTTTACCAACCAACTGAGCTGTGAAGGAAGCCCTTAATCCTCATAAGGCAATGTTGAAAGTGAAAGTGTTAGTCATTCAGTCGTATCTGACTCTTTGAGACCCCGTGGACCATAGCCCACCAGGCTCCTCTGTCCATGGAATTCTCCAGGCAAGAATACTGGAATGGGTTGCCATTCCGTTTTCCAGGGGATCCTCCTGACCCAGGGATCAAACCCAGGTCTCCTGCATTGCAGACAGATTCTTTACCCACTGAGCCACCAGGGAAACCCAATGTTAGCAGTGTGTGTGTGGTTTTTGTTTTTTTTTGTTGTTGTTGTTGTTGTTTTTAGCATCAGAAACAACGCAGGGAGCCCAGCCGAGCACTCTGATGATCTAGAGGTGTGGGATCGGGGGAGGGGAGGGAGACTCAGTAGGGAAGGGAATGTACATGCAATCAGGCTGATTTGCATTGCTGTACAGCAGAAACTGGCTTCCCAGTGGGCGCTAGTGGTAAAGAACCGGCCTGCCAGTGCAGGAGACATAAGAGGTGTGGGTTTGATTCCTGGGTGGGGAAAATCCCCTGGAGGAGGGTATGGCAACCCACTCCAGTATTCTGGCCTGGAGAATCCCATGGACAGAGGAGCCTGGCAGGCTACAGTCCATGGGGTCACAGAGTCGGACACGACTGAAGCGACTTAACACACACACATGCAGCAGAAACTAACTCAACATTGTAAAGCAATCTTCCCCCAGTTAAAAAATAAAAAAGAGGGATAAAAACAAACTGAAGCGTAGAGCAGTGAAGGTGCTTGGAGAGGAAGGAACTGAGATTCCACCTGGTGGACCGCCCCTTTCCAGTGCAGAGCTCAGGGCCATGCAGAGCGGGTGGATGCAGCAGAGCTGTCCCGGACAAGGTGAGATTTAAGTTGGGTTTGAAAGAGGCTGCGGGACTTCCAGATATGGAGGTGAGCTCCTGGAGCACAGGCAGATGGTTTGTGCTGAGGTGGAGAAGCAAGGGTGGGGAAGTAACCAGCTCTGCCAGGAAATGTCTTCACTGAGCACATTTGATTTTATGCCCCAAGTTTTGTTCACAGGCTAGGACGGGAGAAAGGGTTATTTTAGGAACACTCCTGCTCTCTCTGGAAAAGTCCACTTGGAGTTGTCCTCTTGTGTTACTTCATGCTTGCTACGTAAGGGGGCCATGAGTGGTTTCTTGCAAAAATTTAGTCCAGAGAAATATTTCTCCCGGTAGGAAAGACTGAGAAATTTTTATTTCTTTGGGAGGTGAGACCCACATGGCCCCTTACAGTTCCCAGTTTGCCTTGAGTTCCTTGAGAGCCAAAGTGCAAGCCCATTTGTTTTGGGCAGGTGTATCATATAGGAAGTGCTTTGTATCTAAATTGGGCTCTGGAGTGAGACTGCCTAGTCAGAGAGTCCAGCTCTGCCATTTCCCGGTTGTGCAAATTCAGGCACTTTATTGATCATCCCCTTGCCTCGGTTTCCTCATCTGTAAAATGGTACCATAATAGCACTTACACCAGAGAGTTTATGTGAGCATTCAATTCGCTGGTGCACATAAGACTTGAAAACGTAAAATCTCACCTCTCCTGACTTTCCCTCTGCTTTCCTTCTCCATTGTTCTCCTCAGCACTTACTGCTGAATTTTACTCATTTTGCTTTTTATTTGTCCCCTCCCGCTAGTAAGTCACACAAAGGCAGGGCATTCTATTCTGCCTACATCCTCAGAGCCTGGAATGATCCCTGGCATACTCTAAGGTGTTCAGTAGCCAAGTATGAAATGAATGAATGACTCCAAAGTGCTTAGCAATGCCTGGCACGTAGGAAGTGCTCAGTAAATATCACTTCATATCTCTCTTCAAATCAATCCACCTCAGTCCATCAGCAGACCATGTCAGCTGTATCTTCAAAATATGTTCGGGATTTGATTACTTCTCCCTGGCTCCCCTGGAAACATCGCAGTCCCAGTCCCCTCCCTGGTAGCGGAGGCCTGCAGGAGTGGGCTAACCCAACTCCTGGGCTCCACTCCTGCCATCTGACAGTCAGGGCCCGCTAACCCCACCCTGGAGCTGCAATGATCCTCTTAAAACATAGAGGATCCCCGTCCCTCCTCTGCTCAGAGTCTCCCAATGTGTCCCCATCCCACTCTGAATCAAAATCAAGGTCTTTTCATAAATGTAAGTCTCCACATCCTCTCAAGCTTGTCATCCTCCTGAACCCCCCCCCCACCCCCAACTTTCCCCTCATCCACACGGGCTGTTGCTCAGGTCCTCTCACAGCCTTTGTGACTGCTGGAACATTCTTTCATAGGGCTCCCTCTGACATGTTATGCAGATGTCACTGTATTTGTCACCTCCTCAGGGAGGCCTTCCTGGATTTCCTTGTCGAAAGGGTCTCACATACTCCCAGCCCCTTGACTCTCGAGTCCCTGACCTGAGCATTTAGCACAGATTTGGGGGTCCCTGTGTCTCCCACAGGGACTGTGGCTGTCTTGTCCACTGGTGCCTTGAAGAGTGTGGTCTAGTTCGTGGGTGTCGCTTGGGCCCCTGGGGAGCCGAGGGAGCAGCGAGCTGGAGGTCTCAGCAGGGATCCTGACACCTTTTCTCCCTGTGCCCGGCCAGGTCCTGCAGATCTGCCCCAAGGACATGAGAGCGGACATCTGCGTACACCTGAACCGAAAGGTGTTCAAAGAGCACCCGGCCTTCCGGCTGGCCAGCGACGGCTGCCTGCGGGCGCTGGCCATGGAGTTCCAGACGGTGCACTGCGCCCCCGGGGACCTCATCTACCACGCGGGGGAGAGTGTCGACAGCCTGTGCTTCGTGGTCTCGGGCTCCCTGGAGGTGATCCAGGATGACGAGGTGGTGGCCATTCTAGGTGGGTACCCCCTTTTCTGGGTGGAGGCCTCCTGGTGGTGCCTGGCTTGACTTCACTGCCGCCTTCAACCAGAGATGGCTTCACAGGGCTGGCCCAGCGGTCAGCACCCAGGCGTCTATCCACCAAGCGCATGCCTGAGAGCCTGTCTTCTGTCAGGCCATGTTTGAGGCACTCGGGATCCTTCAGTGACAAAAATGGATTTTTTTGTCCTCTAGGAGCTCTGCTGGGGGAGGTGAACAATAAGCAGACATTTGACATTTGAATGACATTTGAATCCTGGGACACCTGCCCAGGATTCAAGTATTGGGGGGTGGCTTCCTGGAAGAAATGACACCTAAGTTGAAACCTAAAAACTGAGCACAAGTTAGCACAGAAAAGAGAAGGGACACAGGAGTATTCTAAGCAGAGGGGAAGGCATGTGTGAAATCACTGCAGAGAGAGAGAGCAAGCACAATTCATTTGTACAACTGTCAGCACTCAGGATGGCTTGGAACACACACAGCAAGGAGGGGCGTGGTGAGAGGTGAGGTCAGGGAGGGAGCTGAGCTCTAGGCAGACTATGTCAGGCTCTGGAAGCCAGATTAAGGACTGGGATGTTATACTGAGGAGCTGTGAAGGGCTTCAAGCGAGGAAGAGGCATGATCAGATCTGCACTTTAGAAAGATGACTGTAGTTGCCGAGTTAATTGAAGAGGGAAGGCGGGGGTAGAGAGATGAGACTGGAGACTTGTTATCTAGGGGCAAACTGGTGGTGTTCTGGACTGTTTCTTGTGCTGGGTAGATACAGAGGAGCAAATGGGGCTGACATATTTAAGACACAGAATCAGCAGCACCTGATGATGGATTGGCTGTGGGAAGAAGGAAGTCAATGAATGAGGACTGCAGGATCTGTTGGGGAGCTGGTGTGCCATGCACTGTGATAGGGAGTGTGGGGGGTGGAGCAGGAACATGGGGGAACGTGTGGGTATTTGGTACTTGAGCATCCATGGCCTTGGAAAGATTCATCCGGTTGCCATTGGCAGCTGCAGAACACCTTTACTGGGGGCATGTTTACCTCACCGAGGGGGCAAGCCATCGTAATAATACCCATCATTTATGGTCATCTCTTCTGCACCAGGCATCTCACATACAGATTCTCAGTTCATCTTTACAGTAACCCTATAAAGTGATTTTATTATCACCATTGTGTAGGTGAGACAGTGAAAGCTCAGAGAGGTTAGGGCAGTTTCCTAGGACCTCAGGGTTGATGAGGTCCATGGGGTCAGCATCTTGGAGTGCCTCAGATTCTAGAACCTTGGCTCTGATCCATTGAGCAATACTGCAGTCCTAATGATAACATATGTAGTTTGCTGGCTCATTCAATTTGCCAGACGTTGCTACACATTGTGGACTTTTTTTTTTTTTAATCTTTGGGTATACTTTCTTAGGAAACTGAGACAGGGAGAGATTGTTAAACTGAATTAGAATTGAGATTCAAACTAAGTATCCAGACATAGATAGTACTTTTTGTTAAAGCCTGAACTTTGTTTCTGCTTGATTTGGGAGTACATGATATGCAGCCTCTTTTCTCCCCTGGCTCTGAGCCAACTTGCCCTCTTGATTACATTCCACTCAGAGAGAATCCCAGGGACGGGGGAGCCTGGTGGGCTGCCGTCTATGGGGTCGCACAGAGTCGGACACGACTGAAGCGACGCAGCAGCAGCAGGGTAAGATGCTCGGTATTCCTTTAGCATACGCTGGCAGATGGTGGGAGGGAGACTGAGACAGAGATTCAGCAGGGGGTGGAGGATGAAACTTTGTTCAAGTAAGTTTCGGATTGCTAACACCCACTGAACTCTGCAGAGTTGTTCTGTCCCTTCCCTTCCTCATCCCCAGAGATGTCAGATTTGATTGTGCATAACGGACAGCACACACAAAGGGTTAAACCATTGCTTTAGTATCGCTGCAGGGAAGGCATTTATCTCTACCTTTAATACTAATCAGTGTCCCCAGTAAAGAGGATTTTCCTTCCGTGATAACTCTCTGGACATTTGCCTGGCTGAGAAGGGTAACTAGCCACTAGTGGGCTCTCTCTTGAATTTGAATTTGAGTTGATCATTTGGTGTAGGGTGTCTTTCACCCATTTCCCTCCCTGATAACTTCCCATATGCCTTTCCAAGGAGACCAGTACCACTCCCCTTATATACTCATACTCAGGGCTTCCTTGTCAACCCCCACCTGCACCCAGAGCTAAACCGCTGCACTATTGGGGGTTGGATTTGGCCACCTAGGCATGAAGGTAGGAAGAGCCGCAAAGGGTGAGGAAGGCAAATGATTACTTCCCAGCTCCATCTCATTTCCCCTCAGCCTGGGCCTCTTGTGGGGAAGCAACCAGAGCTTGGGCTTCCCAGATGGCACAGGGGTAAAGAATCTACCTGCCAATGCAGGAGACATAAGAGACGTGGATTCAATCCCCGGGTTGGGAAGATCCCCTGGAGTGGGAAATGGCAACCCGCTCCAGTATTCTTGCCTGAAGAATCCCGTGGACAGAGGAGCCTGGTGGGCTACAGTCCCTGAGGCTGCAAACAGTCGGACACGGCTGAGCACACACAACCAGATCTTGGTTCGTTGTGGACTTCCCTGGTCAACCGACTGCTCCTCCAAGGCCAGCCCTCTGCCTTGGGCCCTCCTGGGCATCCTGCCAGCTCCAGCAGCAATGTGGATAGGACCTCTGAAATGGCTCAGCAGCTTCAGATTCAACATGGTTGTTGCCCTCAGGCTATCCAGATTGGAGAAAGCAGGTATCTTCAGGAGCTAGACTGAGTCCAAAGAGTAGGTCCTAGCTTGACTTCCTAAAGAATCTTTGACATTTCAAGAAGCTCTTATTCTATAAAAGGATGGCACAAGTCCTTTGCGTGAACTCAACCTCTGGGCCGAGAGATACGAGAGCCCAAGCAGTTTTCTCCTTGGAAATTCAGAGTTTGTTGTTATTGTTGTTTTTCTCAAATTAGAATATCTTAAGCTCTATGGACGGAAATCGGTTTGTTCTTGTGAAGAGGGTTTGGCATCCAGTAGATATTAGAACTAGAGCTTTATGGTCCTTTGATGCCTTTCACTTTAGCCCACCTGAAGTTTACTGAGTCAGCTGTCATAGAGGTGGGGATGAAGCAGTGGGACAGATGTGAGCCCAGCCTTCGAGGAGCTGCTGCATGTGGTGGAGACGGATATTATTAAAAAGACACCAGTCATGCTGCTAGACAAGTGTTACCATAGAGAGGATACAGGTGCTTCTTGGAGGTTATGGGGCATGTAACTATTGAGAAAGTACTGTGTAACCAGTGCTCCAATGAGAATAGCCAAGGAACCCTTAGTTACCAAAAAGCAGGAGGCTTTCAGAAAAAACCCAGAACTCATCCATCTCATTCCTTTGGTCTCTGGCCTCTTGTTATCAGTTCTTTCATTTACGCTCTGCTAATTTGCTTCCTCCTTCCAGTTCTGATATTCCACCCCCATTCTCTGTTTAATTTTAGCACAGACTCCAAGAACAAGGAAAAGGGTCAGGATTCAACTGAGTGTGTTTAGTATGTGTTAAAAATAAAACCCTCTCTAATAGAAGTTTTCTAGAAGAGTGTTTTTCAAGCTTTCTTGATTGCAACTCAATGTATATTGTATTGTGAACTGATATACCCATGTGCACATACACAGTTATACATAAACCCAGGACTTAATCCTGCTATGTGAAATGCGACCTCGTATTTTCTACTAGATTCTATTCTCTTTCTTTTAGGAAGAAATTGATGGTCATGACCCACTCAATTGCTGTCTTGACCTGCTCTCAGCCTGCAGTTTAAAAACATGGTCCTACAGGCATAGATCGCATCTCTCTCGGATTGAAAACCATGCTGTTCCCCAAGGACAGAGAATATACTAGATGATCTCTTGTGTTCTGCTTTCCCTGTGAGGTTCTCTGCCTGATTTTCGAGATGATATCCTCCTAATCTCCTTTTGGAATTCTCTTAGAAATCACTTCATGGCTTCTCCAATTTAGTTTGTTGGCTCTTTGAAATAAGTTCAAGTCTTTAGCCTGTGTGTTTTATTCATTAGATTTTTAAAGTAATCTTCTTTTAAGTTTTTCTTAGATACCAGAGTAAAAAGTACTCATGTCTTCCCTGCCCAAGTGGCACTCTTAGCATCTGCAAGTAAGTTGTCATCTCAGTTCTGTGTTACTTGACCAACATAAGTGAGTGATGTGCTTTCATCAGGGCTAAGCTTGAGTGTGATCCATCTCTCTGTTTCCATCTTATATGTGAAATATTTAAATGTTTCTGTTTCACTGTGATCTAGCATCTCTGTAGTAACTTTCATGGGGTTTGCATTTTAGTACTTAATTTATATTTTAGTCATGGATCATCTCATGTCTTCCCTTTTTGCTGTGTTTTGGTTCCTCGTATTGGGCAAGACACACATCTGGTTGCCAGGCTACACTGAGCAGTGGAAAGAGCCCTGGACGTGGAACTGGAGATTTGCCTGTAGCCCTGGTCCCTCCCTCACTCCCTGCAGGGGCTGCCACCAAGTGGCTGAGTCTCCAAGCCTCCTGTGGCCTGCTGAGTCCGTCACTCTGCATCAACTGCGTGTTTACCCCTCTATCACCTGTGAGCGGAGTCCTTTGGTTTTAGGTGTCTGGCATGGCCCGGCACATGGAAGGCACTGGGGGCTGTTTGCTGAGCTGAACTGAATTGACAGGCAGGACTATGAAGGGCCCTATGGTTCAGCATAAGGATCTGGACTTTATCTTGGAGGGATAAGGGGCCCATAGAGCGTTTTAAACATGGGAGAGGTGTGAAGATTTGGTTTCCACAAGTACAGAGACATAGAGGCCAGTCAGGAGGCTCAGGTGAGAAATCACGAGGACCTGAGTAAGGTGATGGAAAGAAGATGGGGAAGAAGTGCCAGAAAGAACAGGAGGGGGAGGACCTCCAGGAGGTGGGAGGTGAGAAGAGAGAACAGTTTCCAGCAGCAACT